TCTCTATGTATCTGTGTGTCTGTATGTGTCTGTATGTGTATGTATGTGTGTCTGTATGTCTGTATGTGTGTGTGTCTGTATGTGTATGTGTATCTCTTTGTCTGTGTTTGTCTGCATGTGTGTCTGTATGTGTATCTCTTTGTCTGTGTATCTGTTTGTCTGTATGTGTATCTGTCTGTATGTGTCTGTCTGTGTGTATCTGTTTTTCTGCACGTGTCTGTATGTGTATCTGTTTCTCTGCATTTGTATCTGCATGTGTGTCAGTGTGTGCCCCTATGTATCTGTATGTGTGGCACTGTTTATATCTGTATGAGTGCCATTCTGTGTATGTGCATATGCATGTGTCTCTATATGTGTGTCTTTCTGTACGTGTGTCTGTGTATCCGCATGTGTCAGTGTGTGTCTGTGTATCTGTAAGTGTGTCAGTGTTTGTATCTGTAGAAGTGTAATTCTGTGTATCTGAATGTGTGTCATTCTGTGTGTCTATGTATTAGCATGTGTGTCTTTTATGTATTTGTATGTGTTATACAAATGGAGGGGAAGGGCGGTGGGGGGAGAGATGCATGGGGAGGCACCTGGGCACATTTTCACACCGGAGCCCTGTGGTTTTTGTTACGCCTCTGGCTGTACCTCACATACCTGTCCCTTGCTCTCTCCTAAAGGGCAGCACTCTCCTGTCCTATTTTCCTATTGTGTTTTATATCCAACATCCTCTTGACTGTAAGGTAATTTGAGCAGGGTCATTTGAGCAGGGTCTTCTTCATCATCCTATTGTTCCTGTAATTTTTTTGTAATTGTCTCATTTATTTGATCCATATTTACCCTGCACCCAGTGATTCTATGCTTTCATGCCCAGTGGCTGTATGGATTTTTACTTTCAAGTGCCTCGCTCTGCTTATTAACAATTATTTTGATGTGCCACGTTCTTCTCATTAACATTTATTGTGGTCCATTTACGAATATTACTGCTTTACTTCCTTCTATTTGGCATGCTGTATGTTATGCTTTTAAAATGCTTTTTATAACTATTTGTTGTATTACTAATATTATTATTATTATATTTAAAGCATCAACTAATTCCATAGCACTGTCCATACTTCATGTGTACAATGTAAATGACTATTGCCTCATTTTTTACGTATTTATAATTTTTATATTTTCAATATCTGGTGCCCCCTGTATAGTTCTTACTTTTTTTACTTTTTAGTATTTAGTCACTCTAATTCCACTTTTTGAAGGGTTGCCGCCTTTTGCATCTTTAGTTTAGTTTTTTCAACCACATTCATTAGAGTGTGTAGGATTCAAATTGCAGATTATCCCCCTGCTTTTTGAATATTTGAATGTGCGTAACATGTTTGCCAATATTGTCGCTTTTACTATGCTGGCTTACACAATATTTTTTCTGATAAAAAGTCCTTATCACAAATATCTTTTATGAAAACATAAAATGTACCATATCTACTGATCATCATTCTTCTAAATTCCCAACCAAAATCAATTAGCCAGAGGACAAAGCAGTGAAATATAGTAACACCATTAGAATCAGTATTTTAACAGGTTATGTTATTAGCCCTGAACCGGAGAGGCAATTTGCTGTTACAATTAGTAAGAAAGATAAGCCTTTAAAGAACAATTAAAACTGTTCAACGTCTTTAAATAAAAGAGATCCTACACGGCATCTTTTTGCTGGTTACTAGCAGGGTACATTTTTAATTGTATTATGGAGAATACAGTAGGTAACTGCTGATATCCTTAATGATACAATTTAAAGTATGTTTTACCCTTTTTAGCCCCGTAGTAGAAAACGTTTTCTTTTTTTTTCTTCAAGATTCCATGAATTCTAACTGAGGTTGTTTGGCACTTTTGCTGTTTGTTTTGTTCCACTGAAATTTGCCACTTTCTTATTAAAGTAGGACCCCACACATGAAACGCTTCAGCTTACATAAGTGCTTTATGTATCTTGAGCCTGTCACAATTGTGACAGTTTATAAAAGTGCCAGTGTCAATACAATTCTATTGATGATTAGAATACTTACCATGTTTAGTCAGCCACTATTTATGGTTAATTTGAGTTATATTACTCTAGAGCTGTTTAGCAATAAGGGTCTCACTATCCCATTACATCAGATGTATAGTTTAACTGCCATCAGCCTCAGCCAGTATCTAAGCATGATCAGAGGAACACAATGGGCAGAATGGGATTAAAGGTTTTGCAATTCATTCTGACTGTCTTGTGGTCACAGGGATAATCTTTACAGCCCAGTCATTCCCAAACTAGTCATTAAACCCTACCTTATCCAGTCCAGGATTTAGGAATTATCCAGTTGTGTCTAAGCCTTAGACTGGGTAACCTGGTAATCCCTAAATCCGGGACTGGTTGGGCGTAAGGACTGGTTGGGCGTAAGGACTGGTTGGGCATAAGGACTGGTTTAGGAAGCACTGCCTGTTTAAGGGGACTGGGGTTAGCATGCTGTGTGTTATGTGAGTGCTGACACTGGATGCAAAGGCATAAAGAGCAGAGAGATAGGAAAATAAGGTATTTATTATGGGAATTAAATATATATTTTTTTTTAAAAAAAGCTTGCATGGATGGGAGCTTAACACCATAACGACTTGCATAAGATGAAGTGATGATGCAGCTTGTAGTCACCCATTAGTTGCACCCAAATGCATTTGATATGTGTTTTTAAGAATAGATGAGTATTGTTTTTTCTGAAATTGAAATAGATAACACCATATTACGTTTATATAATACATTTAAAAACTTGACTTTTTTTTTCATAGTCTCGTTTACAGGAATTTCTTGTAACCTGAAGAAATATATCTTCAGAATTTCTTGTAGCTGAATAAAAATATCTAAAAATATCAGAATCATTCATTAGTCTATATTTTATTGTGGAAATGCCCCAAGTATCTAGCAATTGCAAGGTATGAATAACTGTTTTAAATCAAAACATTTATAGCATTTTGTATGAGGAGGTTTAAAGGGGAACTATATATTTAATAGTTTTCCTTAGTTCCCAAAATGCTGTGTGAAATATTTATATGTAAAAGCTAGACTCCAGGGTACATTTTAACACTTTTCCTTTAAGCATTTTATGACCAGCCTCTTCCAAAACTCATGGGTATATGGATTTTAATTTTGTTTTTAAACACATTTCATTTTTTTGGTAAACGTCACAAACCTTGAGTCTCTCAATACTCCAACAACCCAAAATTTGTATTCTGCTAAACCCTGTGCTATACCTCATGTAGACCTTGCTAGATTTCTGTAAAGTTATTTTGTCACAATACAGACATTACATTTGCAGTGTTTAAACTTGCAATTATGCAATTGATTTACTGGGCCTGTGTCACATCTGAGACAAAATACCAACTTGATGTTACCACCATCACACCATACACAAACAAAAAAGGACAACTTGGACTATTTCATGGGGGTATTTTGAAGTTTCCAACAATGTATTTAGAAAACAATTTCCTAATTCTTTCAAAGATTTTTTTATTATAAAGTAACATGTTTCAAGGCAGACATGGCATGGTATAGGACAAGTGTTTAAGAATGGCAAAAAGTTTACCCTGAGCTGAAACCTCAGGTATTTTTGCCTCCTAGCAACGCACCTTCCCTGGACTGTGTTGCCTACTCATTTATTTTTTTCTTCTCAGTAGTGAAATAGCCAGCAATCTCTCAGTACATGCCAATTTTGCCAGCACTGGGCAAAGAGACTACCTGCAGCCTAGCATCAACATCCAATCAATCTCATGAAATGTACTGCTGGGTGCCTCATGTCTGAGATAGCAAGCAATAACCCAGTACATGCCATCATGCATATGTAACGGACCCTCCACAAGCCACTACTTATTTGGTAACAGAAACTGACCCATGCCAACGTCAGCGAATACCTATGGCAGTCACCAGGGGCTATTGTTGTGCACTATGGCTAGTGAGGAGTCCAGCAAAAGAAAGGCTGCACCGTGTATGTTGATTGTTACTAGATACAACTATGTCAAGTAAGTACAGTACATGTATGCCATCATATACAAATTATATGATGTATAAATCCCAAGAAATAGTTGGAAGGTTAGAAAGACAGATAGACGTATTGTCCTTGAGATCACATTTCTTAGGGAAGTTGCTATAATAAAGCCAAAACATAATACTAATGTCAGTTGGGGACATGTCATTTCTATCGTACAACAAGCATACCATCACAGTGTTATTCCTATAAGAATACATAAATATAAATGATTTAACATCTCGCTGAGCATATGGCTGGAAAGGGAAGGAGACCCTCGTTTGATTATACAATTCTATTCAGCCCAGCCAGATGCAAAGAAATAAAAATGTGGTCACAATTAAACTCTTGGTAGTCATTATTGAATCAAAGCACCTTTACAGCCAAATCCTGTTTCAGCAGAAATACAAGTAGGGTGAACTACGTTTTTATTAATGTGCCCATTAACTGGTGAACCATTTACAAAAAATACTCCAGAGTCTTTCAAGAAATAAAATCTTCTAGTATGTTTCTATCTGTCTGTGAAAGCAAAATCATTTGATGTAGAAATTGGATGAATGAGCGAAATGGTTAAGTTTAAAAATATTTATAATGAAGCCAAAGCCAGCTGTACAACACAGCTGTTTATTTTACGTAACATCTGCTGGGCATGTGTTACATATTGCATTAAATGGTCCTTAAAATGTGATCCCTTTTTAATGACTTTACACTGTTGTGCTTTGGTTGTAAACCTTTTTTTTTTTTTTCAACACTAGCTTTATGACAAAGTTTTAACCATTTGCCCTGGCACATATTGGATTGCTGTAATGCTTAGCTTGTTTTTGAATTGGTGAGTTCAGTTACAGCCACCAAATATCCAATAAATATTCCTTTGACAATCAAAGTGATTCATTTGATTTGAGCAAGTCATTTAGATTAATAACTGATAACTTCAACACTCGAAATTATTATATCAGTTTCTCTAGTCTTTAGATATATTATGGGAGTATTATTAGCCAACCAAATGACACTAATTTTACTGAAATTCAGAAAGATGAAAGGCGCTGTTGTTTTAACTTCTACATATTATCCAACAGCACTAACTATGAATTTTGCCAGTTTGTGAACTACATTTCCCATGATGCTATAGGCTGATAGAGCATTGTGGTAAATCAAATTCCGAAATATCTGGGGGTGCAACAGTTACCTATCCCTTCTTTATATAATGCATACAGATTTCAGATAGAATAGTGATTTGCTCTCTTGGGACATAAAAAGCAGCTTTGAGAAAACCAACATTATTTTAAGCAAATGATGTACATGTTTATACGTCTTGGATAAAGCAATAATGGAACAATATTTTTCACAGGCACTGCAAATCCAAGGAAGAGGCATATGCTTAAATATACAAAGATGTGCAGAAAAGAAGTATTAAAAACAATTCAATCTAAATAAAAAATATCTGGCTCTTTTAAAGGAGTTTTTTTGTAGAAGAAAAAGATATCTGTTTCAGAGACCAATGTTTTGTAGAACATAGATGTGTAGGATAGCTGATAGTGGGAGACAGCTGTTAGTCCTACTAGAAGGAGTAATGAGATATGTCAAAAGCATTTATCTGTTAATGCATTACTCACCACTTATAATGGGGACATCTCAAAGAAGTATTGCGGCTGGAATCCAGACTCTAGAGTGTGGTGAAAGAAAAACCTACCAGGCATTTAAATTTTCATATGTGTATATAAATAGAATAATTAAATTAAGTTAAAATAGAGGTAGCTTGCAGAATTAAATAATCACATATCACTGATGGCTGAAAGAGGATAACTATAATTCCCCACCCCCAAATAGAGCATTCAATCTAAACAAGATAACATAGAGAAACAGCTCATCATGCACTGCAGGACTCTATCCTGGACGATAAAGGTGACTGGCTTTATCCAGGCACCTTTATTTTTTGTATGTGGGCATTTGGAAATGGAGCTGCATTGAATTGTTTCTTTAACCCCTTAAAGACCAAACTTCTGGAATAAAAGGGAATCATGACATGTCACACATGTCATGTGCGCTTAAGGGGTTAAAGTTATCGATAAACATGGTTTACTGATCACTTTTATTGATATTTTTGTTGCACCATTTTTATGGTATTTTTGCTTTTATATAATATTTTAGACCCTCTCCTAAATATGGCAAGATCTAGGATGACATGTAACATCAAAAACATTTCATATCATTATACCGATAATAAGAATAAACGAATACATTAAACAGTAACATTGTATAAATTGCATAATAAGTAGAATTGCTATTCTGTTCCTGCTAGCTATATATTTTTAGTTGCTCTCTGAGTGTCTGTGATAAAGAAGCCCATCCAAAATGGATATCTGTCTCTGATTACATCTTAATACATGCTCTGAAGGGAAGAAATCAGTTCATGTACAGCATTTTTTTTATATATCTACACTGTATAGTAGCATTCCCATTTTCCTAACTCTGTGAGTGTGAAGGAGCCAGGTGTGTGAAGAACAGAGTGCAGATTACCATTGGAAAAGAGGACATTTGTTAAGAAACACAGTTCAAAGCAAGCAAAAGAAAAAAAAGGAAATGGATATGCCAACAAATTCACCAAAGTTGAAACAATATAGATGAATATAACCTGGGTATACAATAATTCAAGAAAAAAATTAAATAATTAAATTAAAGAATTAAATCTGAGAGAAAAAAGTGTACATAGCGCGTACACAATAGGCAATGGGGAGAGTGGTGGTAGGAAACTCACAGGATAGATAACATTTCAGGCTTCTGTCCCTTATTCAAAGGGTAATATCTTGATTCTGCGACTGTGATCCTCAGAATAGATCTTTATGCCACTAATATAGATAAAAAGAACAAAGTGATAGTGCAGATGGCATAAAATCCAAAAATGTATCCTTACAATATTGCACTTACAAGAAGCCAGAAGTAAAAAGGCCTGTCTCCATACACATGATTATATATTCCCTACCTGTTCTATGTTAACTTTTGTATTTATTGTGTATTAATATTGGTTTTGTATTTTATTGTACCCTAATGTATCAATGCAATGATTTGTGGACCCAGGACATACTTGAAAACGAGAGAAATCTCAATGTATCTTTCCTGGTAAAATATTTTATAAATAAATAATGTGGTGTCCTTAGGAAAAAGCTCAGTCTACTTGCATTAGAGTAGTATGATTAGTAGACTAGTAGAAGAGCAATTAAGAAGAAATGGCTTGCAGAAAAACCACCCATTAGCGACTGTGTATATTATCCTTATTGGATTCCCTGCTCTGATGCCATCATCGGCCACTTAATATATTCTCTTTGAAGAAAAACACATTGTCTCCAGCACCTATGTCATAGTACATATGGAAACAGAAGTCATGTAGGATCGAGGCTGGGAGATGATTCAATGGTCATGGTACATCCATAAATACTCAGAACAAATTCAAGTGTGGGGGCTTTCAAGGGGGGCAGATTTACATGTCAGGTGTCTATAGGTAGAAAACTATATGGCTATTGCTCTTCCTTCCCCCAAAAAAGCATATTAAATTAGTTTAACACATTTGTTAAATGGACATTAAAGGTGTAAAAAAAAAAAAGATATTCAAATTTGAAAACTCACTTTAGAGAGGAGTTAATGTCAGAGTTAGTTTAGAAGGGGTGTTAAAAGGATTATACTCATGAGATGGGTTATAGTTGTGGTATAAGGAGGTAATGTAGAATTATTGGGATTAGGGTTAGACTGGGATTAAATTTAGTATTGGGGCACATGGGGTTTAATTTTTAACAGGAGTTACACCTAAAATTGAGGTTCTGATTCAGGCGTAGGCATTATTATTATTATTACTAGTATTTATATAGCACCAGAATATTCTGTAGTGCTTTACAATATTATAAAAGGGGAATATTTAACAATAAATGAGACAATTACAAAAACTTACAGGAGCAATAGGTTGAAGAGGGCCCTGCTCAAACAAACTTACAGTCTATAGGAGGTGGGGCGTAAAACCCAACAGGACAGAAGGTAGCAATCAAACAAGGTGGAGTGAAGCAGAACTGGAGGAGAGAATAGAGTGCTGCCCTTTAGGAGAGAGCAAGGGACATGTATGTGAGATAGAGGTTACTCTGGGAGGCCATAAGCTTTCCTAAAGAGATGGGTTTTGAGGCACTCTTTAAATTAACTTTTTAAATGAAGACTAGGTGGGAGCTTGATGGTCCTGGGCAGGCTATTCCAAAAGAAAGGAGCCACCCATGAGAAGTCCTGCAAGCGTGAGTTGGCTGTACGGGTGCAAGCAGCAGACAGGAGAAAGTCATGGGCAGAGCGGAGAGACCAAGAAGGAGCATACTTGCAGATCAGTGAAGAAATATAGGAGGGGCTAGAATTGGTCAGTGCTTTATAGGTGTGGATAGGTTAGGTGTGGTAGTACCTTGAATTGACTCCTATGGGATACAGGAAGCCAATGTAAGGACTGACAGAGGGGAGAGGTGTGAAACGAGTGACAGGAGAGGAAAATCAGTCTAGCTGCAGCATTCATTACAGACTGTAGCTGGGCAATACGACTTGTGGGAAGACCTATTATGAGAGAGTTACAATAATCCATGCAAGAGATTACTTGAGCATGGACAAGCTCCTTAGTAGTATCTTTTGTAAGAAATGGGCGGATCAGGGCTTTGTTTTTAAGGTGGAATCTACAGGATTTGGTAACAGACTGGATGTGAGGCTCAAATGTGAGGCCAGAATCAAGTATAACGCCAAGACAGCACGCTTGTAAGGATGGACTGATGTGGGTATCACTCACTTGAAGGGAGAGCGAAAGAGGGGGGTCAGTATTAGGAGGCAGAAAGACAAGGAGTTTAGTTTTAGAGAGATTGAGTTTCAAAAAGCGGGAGGACATCCAATCAGTCATGGAAGAAAGGTAAGCAGTAACACGTTGCAGAATGGTAGGAGAGAGGTCCAGGGAGGAGCTTTGAGGAAAAAGGGAGAGGGGATATGGGATGATAATTAGAAAGGGAGGACAGGTCAAGAGATGTTGTTTTTAAGATGGGTACTACAGTAGCATGTTTAAGGGCAGCAGGGACAACACCAGAAGAGAGCAGTTGAAGATGTGTGTTAAGGAAGGCACAAGACAAGGGGAGAGAGATCTGTTAAGGTGAGACGGGACAGGATCAAGCAGGCAAGTGGTGGGGTGAGAGGAAAGGAGAAGCACAGCCACCTCTTGTTCAGTAGCCTGGGAGAAAGTCCGAAGGGTAGGAAAGGCATGACCTAGGTGTGGTTGAGAAAGAGAGGGGCAAGGTGGTGAGAATTCTTTCCTTAGCTGTTCAATCTTGTCGGTAAAGTAGCATGCAAAGCTATCAGCTGTAAGGTTAGTTTGGGGGGTGACCACAGCAGGGCAAAGAAGGAAGTTGTTAAATTTGGGATTAAAGAAAAGAGTTTGTTTATGTTTTTAAGGCGTTAAACAGAGGTTTAGGGACAAGGGAGTGTTTAGGATACAGGTATGTGGAGTTTGACGGGTTATTTGCAAAGTACTCACCATCCTATGATTGATAGTAGAACTGCATGAGCTTATGTATAGTATGAATCACTCATTGCTGTCCCTGTTCCTTCTATAAGGCATTACATGTGTAAGATGCTGTTACTGGGCAGATGGGAAGTGATCCATTCTACTTCCTGTCCAGCCTCAAACACAGACCCTGGAAGAGCTGGGACAACACTGTGTTCTAGATACTGTATCACTGCTCCTGTAGCTCTCCTGTCATGATATAAGGATGACTAGAGTAGGCTACAAGGGACAATGGTCAGGGCACATGGTATGTATCTCCTCTCACCAGCTCACCTAAGCTGCAAAAAGGGACATAATAAGTGCTGTAAATTGGAGTTGACTACAGCACATTTGCCTGAAAGCAGGAACGTACTCTACCTAATGGGAAATCTGTCCCTAGACTTACAGTTTAATCTCCAAAATTCATTGTTGATCTGGCCATAATTGTTCCACTGAAATGTTTCTATACATTTTAAAATGTTTTTTTCCCCATTATAAACAGGACTCTACTTGGGGAAATGTATATATAAATATATGTGATTCTCAAACCTGGCTTATCATAGCTAAATGAATCCATAAAATGGAGAATAAGTTAACAATGTACCTGTGGTAAGTAGGCGGACAGAAAAAGCCACAAGTCTACACATGTGGGG